GCAGTAGTTCGTTTATACTACTTTAAATTAGACATTTACAGATAACATCCCAGACTTGCCACTTTTACGATTCTATAAGCATTATAATTACAGATCATCGTAAGCTATAGTTTACGAATTTACATAAATTTTACGAGAGTACCCAGAATTGACATATTAGTGTCATGGAAACATGTACGATAAAGGGAGGTTTAAAAGTGGGAGTAGAAAAAAATATTTAATTATTAATTTAATTAGGACATAATTAAACTTTTAGTTTTATTTAAATTTGCCGTAGTATAAATTAAGCTAATATAAAGTACAATGTTCAAAGCCCTTCATTGTCTTAAAATGGTAAATGACTAAATGATTGAAAACAAAAGAATTAATTTTATAATAAACCTAATGAAAACAAATTACAGCGGTTTCGTTGAAAATTTAGTTTATAATTAAATAAAACTCTCTGATTAATTAATGCGAAAAATATTGCGTGAAAGCTTATTTGGGGTTCCACGCGATACATTCGCTTTGCAACCAAGTGACTTGTCTATTTTTCGTAAACACACAGAGAATCGGATGTTTCTTTGGAAAGTGGCTACAAAAGAAAGATTTTAGACTAGAATTTCCCATTAGCTGCGGTGAATGGAAGTGTACAATACCGTCGACGTTTCGTTCATATAATGACTGTAACTTTCATTAATAAAATGCCTGGTTTCATTTTTCATTTTGATTTCTATTATGAGAAACTCGGATATTGATAACTTTTATACTAAACTTTAAAAGTTGTCCAGTATATATATTTTTAATTTCAAAAGGTTATTTTAAATTTGACTAGTTTTTTTTTTATTTACAAATTGGGACTGCATCAACCTCCAAGGGTTATTAGCAGTATACATATACAAACATAGATGCATTCGATTTTATTATATATATTTATCGATCTTAGGAAGTCCAGGGTTTTTTCAATTTGTGTGCCCAAAGCCGTCTCCAAACTATCCGGGATGTGGTGCAGTGATCTTTTCCTTTATTATATTTCGGACATTCTAAAATTATATGGGATACGCTTAGGACAGTGTTACGTACATTCTTCACAAAGGGTGATGGGTTCGTTTTTGAAGATGAAACTATGCGTGATGGCAGTATGACTATGACTAAGGCGATTTGTTAGTATTTGGTTTTTTCGACCAGGAGGAAGTGGTAATTCTTGTTCGATTTGTGTTTTAACTGCTTTTAGCTTACTGTTATTTATTGCCCAAAGTTCTTGCCATTTTCCATTTACATAATTGTGTGGAATTTTTTTAATTAAAGGCGTTTCTTGTTCTTTTGCTGTTGCTGCTGCCAAACGATCAGCTTCTTCGTTACCTTAGATGCCAACATGTGAGGGAACCCAGAGAAATTTTATTTTATTGTACTGATTATTTTGGATTTCTTCCTTTATGGTTTGAAGAATTGGATGTTGTGGGTACACTTGTATGATTCCCAGTAAGGTGCTTAATGAATCGCTTATGATCAAGAATTTACCTTCTGAGTGGGAGCATATCTTTATGGATTGCGATAATTTCTCCGGTAAATATACTGCAGTATTGGGGGATTTTGGTGGATTTTTTAATTCCATCTCCAACAACAGCAGCGGCTTGTCCAGTTTTAGTTTTGGCAGCATCTGTAAAGATTAGTTTGGTGTTTGGGAATTTTGTAATTAGGGAGCGATAGGTGCTGTGAATAATTGTTGGATGTGTTGAGTGCTTGACTATATATTAATTTCAAACTTCCCCGAACGCTCGACAAAATTCGGATTTGAACAATATCATCGGGAGTCAGAATCGCTTATAGTATTTCCTAAAAAATTGAGCCGGCGGAAAAAAGCTGTTTTTTTTAAACTCTAAAAATTGTAAAATTGTAAAATTGTCAAAAAAATTGACTTTTGCATTATTTCCTTATTATGAATACTATAGTATACGAATGATACAGAAAAAATGCAAAAATGCAAAAGTCAAGTAAAAATAAAACATTTATTCATAAATTATATTATTGTATAAATGTGGTAATGGAAAATGCCTCGCCGCGGAAAATCCAACTTTTGTCGAACGTTCGGCCTATGTAGCGAGGAAATATATACAAAAAACAAACAGATGCTCATTAAACATGTCCCCTTTTTAAAAATTATTTTTACCATTGAGTGGCTTACCAACCTTTTTTGGAATATTAAAAATGATGTAGTAAATAAAATAATAGATATACATGTGTATTATAAACTCAATATAAATTAATTAAAAAACGAAAATATTTATATTGGGTTTTTGAGTTTTATAGTTTTAAATAAAAAGACAAACCTATAAAAATTTTGCCAAAAACCCTTTGTTTTTTTATCACATAATCAATGTAAATTTATTGAGACTTGAACAAAAAATATAATAAGTAAAAGGGTGGTCTCGTTAAATTTTTTTCCGTAGGGTTATTTCGACGTTTAGAAGTCTCGGAACGTAAATTTTAATATAATTAGCACATCATTCGATGGCGAAAAGTGGAGCGAAAAAGTTATAAAAGAATCGTCGTCTTTTTTTCTACCAATAGCCAACGATATTTATGTTTCGCCGTGCGTCGTTAGCCTTTGTGCTAGCGAAAATGTACTCGCTCGAAAAAAATCTCGATGATCCACATACTTAAAACTCTTTTATGGCTTTCGCCATAAATAAACCTTATTTTTATTAAAAAAATATGCAACCGGCTCTATACAGGATGTCCCATAACTAATGGTACAAAAAAACCAAATTCCTTCTTTAAAAATATTACGGTTTAAAAGTTGATAATAACTAAGATTAAGGGTGTGAAAGTTAAAAGTTTGATTTTGATTTTATTAAATAACTTAAAAAAAACATCATTTTGGTATTTAAGGACGAATGACTTTAAATTATTAATGCAGAGCGCTGCCTGCGACAGATTGAATAACATGCGTAATATCGGGATACTTCAAAGTTTTGGTTTACTTTAATCGAAACTTTGATATTTTTTTAAGTTTAATAGTGCCGCTATATTTGGATAATAACCAAGATTTAGAGTGTCAGAATTAAAAGTTCGATTTCGATTGTTGCATTTATTTTGAGTGTAAAACTTTACGTCTATAGCGGTATGTTTTTAAATTTAGAGTAAGGTTCAACTTGTAGTGTGTCAGACATGTATTTAAGAGTGTTATTTTAAAATATATACTTTAAATTACAATAAATATATTTTTTTTTTAAGATTTTTTTATTCATATAGAAATGCCTCGTAAGCACAAACGAGTACTCGGCAGTCGGCGGTACATCGATTATACGTCAGAGAAAGGCTTCGAGGTAGTTTGGTATATCTTTTGGTACCCTTTATTATAAATATAAATAAAAACATGGGGGGACACCAGGTCTGCCAACAGTTTTTACCAAAGAAGAGGAACTATCCATCCTTCAGTCATCAGACAAGTGTGAGGATTGGAATTTTCCCTTTGATCTGATAGACGTATGGATGACTGTAAAGTATTATTTTGACAAGAAAGGTAAAACAATAAACATGTTTAAAAAAATGTGCCTGGATTTGACTAAATAAAAAGCCTTGTTAATAGACATAAAAACTCATTTGGACAAAGACTGGCAACAAATATAAAACGAGGGAGAGCTACTGTTAGTTCTAACATATTTAATTAGGTACGATGAGTCCAACTCGAACGACCCTGGAAAAAAACGCGTAATTTACAGAGAAAGTTATGAACCATTCTAAAAGCTACCCAACAATCATGATATGTAGTTAATATATACTTATATTCAGGAGCCTCTACTGTTATAACTCGTGGAAAGAGAATAGACTACAAGGACTTTCATGTTATAACCAATAACTCGACGATAAACAAGAACTTGAGGAAGAACCAGCACCTGTAAAAACTTTTGAATGGGTCAATACATTTTAGCAAAGTTTTCTTCACAACATTCCAGTTCTTGAAATTTTATTTTCAATATCTTTTGTTTTGTATGTTTGTATATTTTATTTTTAATACCAAAGAAGAGTTTTTTTTTTTGTTCCGGTTTGTTCCTGTGCCTTATTATTGTAAGATAATGTTTATATTTTGTATGATTTAAATAAATTTTTAAATTAAAATGTTGTTTTAAATTTATTAATATTCTCCCACTATAAACATTTGTGTGTAATTAATACCTAAAATATAACCCTTAATTTTTTTTATTGTTTATTTTAATGAGACTACCTTCGGTTTTCGTATAAAGTATAAGGGCGATTATCCCAATATCAGTATATCTTTGATGGCATAATTTTTATATTTTTTCTCAGAGAATACTTGATTTTTGTATTTCATATTTTCAGAATATGTTTGTAGGGTAAAACCGATATATCTTGTTTTTTATTATATGTGTATTCACAAAGAAAAAAAACTGATTAAAGTATCTCAAATGCAGATTCTCCATGTAACGTTTTAAGGGTCAAATTAGAGGGTCCTTCTTCGACACATCGCATACGTATAGTCACATCGTTTTTGCGCCTTAGTGTATTTAGGTTTTAAATAAAAATATACATTTACAATGTATACAAATATGATAAATGTTTTATTTTTATTTTAAACGTAAATACTTTAAGGCGACTTTACGTATGCGAAGTGTCGCAGGCAGGACCCTATACAATCTACATACATACTTTTTACGAAATTTAAATTTTCGTTGTAAAAACCTCCAAAATACAAAATTTTGTGCTTTTTTTAACTTATTTAATTAAATCGAATTTTTAATTTTGACACCCTGTATCTTATTACTTTTAAACCTGGTAAATTTGGTTAAATCTTTATATTTAAAAATAATGTTAATGTTTAAATTAGTTATGGGACACCCCGTATAAAAGTTACGTTGTTACTTTGCTTTTAAACTCATTTAAATTGGTTTCTAGCTGACCTGTTTAGATCTTATTTTAATATTAATCTTAATTATATAAATATTAAACAAATATTTATGTTTACAAATTTTTCTGAAATTATTTTTATTTTATCTTAGATCCAACTATATGGTTTTAATAAGGAATTGTATCATAATATGTCAGAGGCGCAGCATAAATCACAAGGAATTGTTGCAATATCGTTAATGGTGCAGGTAAGAATAATTTAAGTTAATTTTAGGCCAAAGCCCAACAAATTGGGAATTAATTTAAACGGAAATTAACAAATTGTAACTAATCTTTATTGGGAGTGTTTAAGACAAAAATTTTAAGTTAGGTACTAAATTCGAATCTAACTCACTCTATTATATTCAATCTAACACCAGAATCAATTACGTAAAAGTATATACTAAAGGTTTAACACCTTTAATATTCAATTAGATTCCACATTGGACAACTTAAACCCTTTACTCTCAACCGTTAAATCTTAGGTTGCAGCGTGGTTAAATTAGCCCAGAAGAAGCAGCACCAAAATAGGCAACCATTGAGGAAATAATCCTAAAAATACTTTTAGCTGTGTGGAAATCTGAGATTGATGAAAATTGCTATGCTGGGCTTAAATCGTATACATTTACACACTACATAAATACTATACGGATAAAACTTTAGATCAATATTAGTATTATTTCTATTACAAACCGAGACAGTGGATAGTCAAACATGAACACATACCTAGGAAGGACAAAACTTTTTCACCAGCCGTTGATTTTTGGGATTTAAAAGAAATTATCAGAACAACCTTCTGAAGAAATCAGAAAAGGAAATATGAAATGTGATTTAAAAGAAATTATCAGAACTACCTTCTGAAGAAATCAGAAAAAGGGAATATGAAATATGAAAATTTATTAGGTAAACATAAAAATGCAAAACATAAATCTATCTAAAAAGTCCTTGTACATATCTCATATATATATATATACAGGGTGTTTCATACCAGGAGGCGAAAAATGAAATTCTATATTCAAAACGTCATTCTAAATAAAAATCTTTAATACTTTTTTGTTCTATCATTTTTCGTTTTCGAGTTATTCGAGTTCAAAGTTTTGAATTCAAACAATTAAAGGATAACAATATGCAATAATAGGATTCATAATTCTATAGCAACCAAAATATACATCCAAGGAAACGTATATGTGGTCTTCTGCCTTATTTGTCATACAACCTGTCAGTTTATTGTAAATTTATAAACAAAATGGAATTTACGAATGAAGAATATGCAGACATTGTTTTTATTTACGGGTACGCAAATGGAAATGCTTCTGCAGCTTCCCGAGAATATCTGCGTAGATTTCCAAATAAACGACAACCATCCCGCCGAGTATTTTCAGACGCATATCAAAGACTCCGAAGAAATGGTATTGGAAGCAAGCATACAGGAGGTGCGAACTTCAGACACAATGCTGGTCAAGAAGAGCAAGTAATTGACGCTGTACTTAACGAACCCGGCATTAGTACCAGACGTATTGCTAGTAGGCTGGAAGTTTCTCATAACTTTGTTTGCACCCGTACCATAAGCAAAATGTTCAACATTTGCAGCCAAATGATCACGAGCAACGACTTCTGTATTGTTAATGGCTGCTTCGTCAACATGAGCAAAATCCAAATTTTATTTCTTCTATTGTATTCTCAGATGAAGCTACTTTTACCAGAGATGGTATTAATAATACCCATAATGAACATGTATGGTCGTTGGAAAATCCACATGCTATGAGAGTGAGACATTTCCAACAGAGATTTTCAATTAATGTCTGGGGTGGCATTTTCAACGGGCGAATTCTGCCAATTATAGTCCTTCCCAATAGACTAAATGCCGAATCTTATTTAATGTTTTTACAAAATGAACTTAATGAAATGCTGGAAGATGTCCCTGTGGGTTTGCTAAATCGAATGTGGTTTCAACACGATGGGGCACCACCCCATATTGGTAGAAATGTAGTGAATTGGTTGAATAACAACTTCAATGGAAGGTGGATTGGTAGACGTGGCCCAATATTGTGGCCTGCTAGGTCACCGGATTTAAATCCGCTTGATGTTTATTTATGGGGACACATGAAACAGCTTGTCTATGCAGTCGAAATTACCACCGAAGAGTAGCTTATGCAAAGAATAATAGATGCGTCGGAGCAAATACAAAATGTACAAGATTTTGGACGAGTTTACAATTCTGTTGTTTTGCGGTGCCAAGCTTGTATTAATGCTGAAGGCCATGTTTTTGAAAATGTCCTGTATTATTACAGATAAAAATAAATAGTATAAACTACAAATTGGTCAATTGTCAATCAATAATTCTTGCTGACATATTAGCCATAGATAACAAAGCAATATTAGCAATATTAGCAATAAACTGATAGGTTGTATAATACAACCTATCAGTTTATTGTATTACTTAAATAAGGCAGAAGGCCACATAAGGTTATTTTTTTTTATCTGGACTAGTGTTTTTTTATTAACTTGGTTGTTTATGTCAGTTTGATTAGTATTTTAGGATTGGTATCTCTGTTTTACATAATTTGACAGTTTTTGTCAAATGATTAAATTTAAACAGAGGAATATCAAACTCCAATGTATTTATGTGATTTAAAAAACGTCTCTGTACAAATAATTATCCTACAGGACAATAACGAAATACTATTTTGGTCAAAAACCTATTAAAATGTAAATATTTTTTGATTTCTTAACCACAAATATTAATTTAGTTTTATAGCTGCCAATATAATAGAAATATTTGCCAACTAAACCCCTAAGTTTGCAACGTTGCCGCAGTCCAGATAAAAAAAATGAACTGTATTATAAACTTAAATACTTATACGTTTCCATGGATGTATATTATAGTTGCTAGAATTATGAATCCTATTATTGCATATTGTTATCCTTTCATTGTTTGAATTTAAAACTTTAAACTCGAATAACTTGAAAACGAAAAATGATAGAACAAAAAAGTATTAAAGATTTTTATTTAGAATGACATTTTGAATATAGAATTTCATTTTTCGCCTCCTGGTATGAAACACCCTGTATATATATATATATATATATACAGGGTGTCCCAGAACTCGCGCCACAGAGAAAAAGGGGGCGCGCCGATAGCAATGGAGATGCCAAATTTAAAAATAAAAAATTTCTAGGTATTAGTGTAATCGAATTAGAGCAAAAAAGCGGCAGCCAATACCGATAGCTCTCGCCTAGGTTAAACGTAAGAGCTTTAAAAATAGATAGAACATTGTTGTATTAAAAACATTTAAAAATCTTTTGGCCACTGTATTTACTAAGTTGTCAAAAGCTTTCAAAAATGAGGTTATTAATCTATGACTTATATATATATACTTAAATAACGATTAGGAAAGGGCTGGGAAAAAACTCGCGTTGTCTCCCTGGCGTTGCGCCCACACTAAATAAATAAATAATTATAATTATCATTTCAGTATAATCATCTAAGGAAAACATTATTTATAATAACTTAATTTATAACCTAATATAATATTAATGACAGGAGTTTGGCAGCAGTGTCACAATGAATTGGATTCCAGTGGACCAAATATTTTACATATTTTTTATTATCAACAATGCAACCTAAGTATCCTAGCAATTTAAAGAATTCCCTATGGCCATCTATTGGGATTGACTATCGTGTTTTATTCTTATCTCGCTTATCCTTTGCGTTAGACAATTTTAATTTTCAAATATGTGTTTCACGTTACTTTCGGCACGTTCCGGTTTTTTATGTGGCGCGAGTTCTGGGACACCCTGTATATATATTAGACTGTTTCAAAAAAATCGACAAATTTTTTTTCTTATTAATATTGTTTAAAATGACGAAAAAAAAAATCCTGTGAAAGTTTGAGCTCTTAATATTAATATTAAGAGGTGCCGCATCGAAAATTTCAATTTCCCATTTGATTAACATGGGAAATTTTTTTTTTCGAACTTTGGAATTTATTAACTCTTTAACAAGTCATCGGACTAGTTCAGTCAGAACATTTTTTTGTAGAGAATTGAACGCTCTACAAAAAAAGTCTCTTATAATTTTTTGATATATTTACTTTTTCAAAAGTTATTTAACGCTAAAGATGGATTGATTTAAAATTTTTATATTTTTCAAATTTTCCGACGCAACCATCAACTTTATGAGAAAATTTAATAGGACTTTTTTTGTAGAATATTCAATTTTCTATAACTTATTTTTAAAAAAATTTTGATATTTTTTACAGATCGTAAGTTATTTGCAAAAAACTAAAAAAACTTGTCATTTTAATGCTTAAAATTAATTGTCATATTAAATAAATAAATTTTTAACTTAAAAATTGAATGTTTATTATAATTAAAGTAGTCATATTAAATATAAAATATATATAAAATGTTTTTATTTGCTTTTCAGAATTGGTCGTCTTGACCTTGAAATGATTGCCAAGAATCGAATAACATAAATCGGCATTATTTTTGAAGAAAAAAAAAATTTTTTCCATTTATTAATTAAACTATAATAAACATTCAATTTTTAAGTTGAAAATTTATTAATTTATTATGACAATTAATTTTAAGCATTAAAATGACAACTTTTTCAAAAAAATTTTAGTTTTTTGCAAATAACTTACGATCTGTAAAAAATATCAAAAAAATTTGCCCGAACTACTCTAGCATTACTTAATAAGGTAGGCTAAATACTTTTCTGTCTATTTTGAACACAAGACATCTGAGACTGCGATCGAGATATCAGCGTATTTTAAACGCATTCAATAAAGAAAGCTATTTATTCTTTTAACGCTATATTCGCCTTACACAAAATTACTAAACACTTGCCACGTAATACTGTGACCGTCCATCCTGGATTAAATTAATGGCTCTGGCAGTCGGAGACCTATCCATTTTTTAAAGTAAGAAGACACCTTAAAATTTAAACATTAATTTGCAAAAAACAATTTGATAGCTTTTAAAAGCCGTGTATGACATGTCCAAGTATGGAATGATTCAACAAAACTGTCATTCTCCATAGCCTATGGATGGACCATAGCAACCTTAGTTCTTCATACAGAAAAATATTGGAAATTGCAATGTTTTTTTTTTAAAATCCATATTTTCCACAAAAATAAATATATCGAGGTGAACCAAAAACAAAACTGTTAAGAATAGATGTGACTTGATGAATAAAACCTAATCT